TTTATTTACAGCATGAAGCACTGTTTTTGAGGGCAAAAGGCAGATTACAGTTCACGCTGTAGATAACTAGAAAACAAAGAGTAAATCCAACCTCTGGAACCCAGGGTAAGTTTTATAACCATTATTCTTGAATACTGTTGGAAATTTATTTTTCTTCAGACTTCGTTAGAGAATTAAGTATTAGTATTGGCAGCATTTCAAAAGAAAATGGACAAAATATAGGTGATTGTAAAATATTGTCATTTTAAGTTCAGAATATCTGAGCACGAATCCACTAATTCTTATAACTAATAAAATCGTGTCTATATAAAACCCAATGGTATGTAGAAATTTATTTAAAAATTCCTCAGGATTTTGATTTAAAGTTGTACATTATACAGTCTTGTTACAATTTTTATAAAATGTAAGCCTGCATTCATTTTTAAAGATCATTCTGAAGTTATGAATGTTTTTAATTTAATGTTTAAAGACCATTACTGAGGACCTGACAGGACTTCAAAATCCACCCAATTAATTCCACTCTGAAGCAGAAGAAGCCACAGCTTTTTATAAGCAATAGCATGGCTCTTAGGGAGATTAGGGATTAGATGTCCCTGAAGCCAAGGGCAGATAAGTTGATAAAACTTGACTTTTAAATTTAATCTCAGTCTGATCTCCTGCTGAAGCCATGCTATTACTTATAAAAAGCCCAGGGCGGGGGGACCCCTAATAAAAAAGGGCGGGGGTCCTCCTCGTCCCTTTTAGGGTTTGAAATCAGTGTTTTTGGTCCCGCTTAGGCTGATAATGACGGGAATTCCCACTACCTGAGTTTTGTGGTACCTTTTAAGGTATACAACGACCCTAAAGCCATCATTATAAGATCAACAACAGCCACAACTGCTAATTAGATGACTGATCTCAATACGATCCGATGGTGTTTGATTCTTGTGCAAAAACACAAATAAAATCGGGAAACAAAATGACCTGTTATTGATTGGTCCCTCTCAGGGGTGAAATTTCAGCATTACCACGCCCATTATCTCACAATACAGGTCCCTTTTAGGGGTCATTTTGTTTTTTTTTATTAGGGAGTCTCCCCCAGGATAAAAAGCTATGGGTTGACATAAGATGTTCATGTTTACACTTTTCATGGTTATATGAAAAACAAAAGGAACACACAACTGAAAGACAGTTTTAGAAGTAAAACAATGAAAAGGCTATAACCTCATTTAATACCAAGTGAGTTTAATTTCAAATTAAATAATAAAATAACAGAAACATTCTAGAAAGCGAAACAGAACTGTGGTTGCTTGAAATGGCTGCTGCGGAATGTTCCTCATTCTCTTTGGACAAGGAAGTGAGTGAAGTTCGTTAAAACAGAGYTCCAAGTAATGGATGATTGAACAAGACATAACCATATCCCCTGAGGTGCACATGTGGTTCAAAATATTAAATTGGAACTCTAAATAGGAGTAAAACTTGCACAGTTGTACGAGAGAAAGTTGCAGGGACATTCAGTTGTCCCTGCAAAGGGCAAGCAGAGCTAGTTCAAGACATCTTTTCCCTCCTGTGACATCACATCAGAAAACAAAACAGTCAGAGGCGATCATGGTATTACAATAAAAATCTTCTAAAGAACATGTAGCTATAATAAATTGTTATCCTCGCATCCTGTTTCAAAGTTAGTTTTCAAGTTTCCAGGCTGTATTATCTTCACACCCCAACTTTGGGTAGGCATTTTATCATTTTATTTGTATGACATAATAGGGAAATTGAAAGAACATACTACTACTAAACGTAAATACATCGACTGCCTTATGATGGCATGTCATTGAATGATTAGATCATACAATTTTTTTATTAAACTAATAGCAAATGATCCTTATTTTATAGAATTGATCTAATCACGGTACTTTTTGTGCTTTAAACAATACAAAAAGTACCGTGATTAGATCAATTCTATAAAATAAGGATAATCAAAATAATCAAAATAATATTAAGAATAGCATGATAACAAATAAAGGATCAACACCACAAGTACTTTTTAGACCAACAATTTTTGGCAAAAACTGTAGCTTTGAAACTTGTTTCAACTCCCACTTTCATGTAGACTTTCTACAAGTCGTTCTTATTTTATGTGTGTGAGAGAATGATGTCAGTCCCACAGAAGCCAAAAATTAAAGTGGAACCTGCCACTTTGCCCCACTTTGATAAACTCTAAATTTCACTTGAAATTAAACTATGGCAAAACAATTGATATCCTGAAGAATTAATATACAACTGACACTTGTCAATCAACCAATCGTGCACATATTAAATAAAAGAGCAAATACAGACAGCCAATTGATTCAATGACTAGTAGTGCAGTGGTGTGAACTAGGAAATCACAGATCGCTTACATGGGCTTCCTACACAAGATAGTGTATTCAAAAATCAAAATTCATTGTTAGTCGCTCTATTGATGTTCACAGAAAGTTTTGGGAACATTTTCAAGGTATTTAATTCCAGTTTTCAAAAGTGCCAGACAGAAAATAAAGCATAACCTAGTGTGAGGCACAGGACTGTTCATAGATAACTCAGCTATACAAAATTGATCTTATTAAAAGATGAAGTTCCTCAAATCCACCAAGTACAAATTCATGTATGGCAAGGTTGATTAGTTATAACTTCACAATAATTATATTCTTTGTAAATTTTGAACTTTGGACATATTTTAAACTGATCTTTAAGTGGTGGTAACTGCAGCTTGATTATGACAGGCTGAGGTAATCTGTGAAATGGTCTATTGCTGGTCAGATGGTTTGATTCTGATTGGTAAGACAAGACTTTTGTGTCTCAGGAGTTTCTTATACGACATGACATTCACCCATGTATTCACATAACTCTTCTTTGAAGATATTTTATTACAAATCCTGACCAATGTCCTTGACATTACAATAATGCCTACCATGAGAAATTCCAGGCTTAATGTTCTGCACCATGTGCAGCCTTGTGTAATAATGTTTCAAACCTCTGTCTCCAAAACTATAAATATTAAAGTATCAATATTGTAACGCAACACTGTCACACAATATATGTCATGCAATTATCCCCTAGTTGCAAGCATAAGTAATGCACCAATACCAATACCACAAACTGCAGCCATTCCCCAGCCTCTTCCAGAGCCAGAGCCTTCCTTTTTTGGTGAATCATCAGGTTGGAAAAAGTCTGTGAACCCTTGCTGCAAAAAGGGAAAAATTATTACTAAAAGCAAATGGACAAATGTGTATATATTTATTGATAGACTAGAGATTTTCTTCCATTATAAGAGCTTGCACACTGAATCAGTGAAACTTAAATATTACAGCAAATTAATAGAAATAAACTGTATTAATTCCTTTGTTTTCAGGCTATTTAATCAACACGATTTAGTAGTAATTAGTAAAATGTTTCATAAATGAAGTGCATCCACCCTACCTCATTGAATTGGTTTTCATTGTTATTATTGGGGCTGTATTTCTTATATATTTCAGCTGGGCTATATCTAGATAAACCCAGGCTATTTTATATACTCTACAGTAATACTTAGGAAATTAGAGTATTAGAAATTATTGCTGAGCGGCCTGAAATCAATTACCATGAGTAATGAATTACTTACAAACGTCTTTTGATAAATACCTTACCCTCCACCATCTAAACATAACTAGACGCTCTTGGAGCGTGAAGTCGGGCTAGCTATTTTGGAAAATTGAGAAATTACTTGGAATTTACATGTTATACATGTAACATGGCGGAATGTACTACAATTGCGAATACGTGAAGAGYGAAAGAGTTCAACACGATAAGATAAAATTCGTATCTAAAAAAACATGTAATATTCTGACAGTCATATAATTATATATGAAAGTAATTTATGGCGTAGAATACCTTATCTAGTTTGTTTATTCACGCACCGCGATATTCTTTTCTGGTGGCTTGTCGCAACGACATCAAAACACTAGAAATATCGATCCAGGAGTGATATTCTGTCTTTCTCAATTTTCAAAACTTCACGCTGTAAAAGCGTGTAGCTCATTCAAAATATGCAAATTTCGTGAGATTGAAAAAGGTCGTATAAACAACACTCTATAATTTAACAATTTTTGATGCAATGTTTAAAGGAAAGAACCCTATTACCCTATACTTATCCCGTTTTTTTGTACATGGACCAGCTTATACTAATTAGGGGAATTTCCAAATGCAACTCTTTCAAATACATTCAAAATAAATGCTTTAAATGCTCTTAAAACTCATATGCTATAATTACTCGTGACCAGGCCCTTGGCCAGGTCACGAGTCAGAAAATGCAGCGAGTTTAGTTTTGTTTTTGTTTTTTCTATGTGAGACCTTTGTCTTCGGGCTGACCTTTGCATCCCGAATGCATATCACATTGTGAGCTCGGGTGTACCTTTGTCCCCGATCGCACTCCGATCTCTAAACGAAATATCACATTACGAACTCGGCTGTAAACAAGCGTATCATAGACCAGCAAAACTGCTCGGGATTTACTGTATCTTTTAAACTAACGAGATATAAATCAATACTTCGTAAATGAAGCCCGTGGATGTCCCATACAGCGCGCAATCGCACGAAACTCAGAATTATCGACTCTTCAAGTCAAACAACTCTTCAAGTCTGCCGCTTATTACTCATCTGAGTATTTGGGATAGCGGAAAGTTTTCTGTTAAAGGCGAAGAGATCTCAAGCCCGATCGACAGCTCTTCTACATACGAACTACTCTAAACATTCGTGTCATAGAACAACAATATCTGCCCGGGATTTACTGTAGTTTTTTAGTAATTCTTTGATATTCGAGGCCTTTTTGTATTCAAAAACATTCATCTGTGTAAGAGCATGTATTAGGACATTGGTTTAGGTCATAAAGGTTGGTGTATCGAGCCAAATGAGTTCATTTTCCTTGGCGAGATATAAACCGATACTTCGTAGCTGACTACGTGGCTGTCTGATTCTGAATTGCATAGCCTATTTTCTAATTTGATGAGGGATTCTGTCTCTTTCTAGCCTGCGTAGCAGCCCTAAGGGGATTGGGGAGGGCCGGCCGAGCGGGGAGTGGGGAGGAAAATTTTCCACGAGTACACCCTGCTGTCAGGGTCTAGTTACTAATGCAACTGTAGACGAAATGGCGCAATGCATTTGATTATCAGATATCTTGGTGTAAGGTTTCACGTTTTTAATTAAAAAATGACCTCTCAGGTCAAGAAGTATATTTTACAAAACAAGACTGCGATGAATAACACAGTAAATGGGGAAATATAATAGACAAAACAAGTAAAGCAAAGCATTATGGATAATATGTATGACCATGTGAATTTGGTATTCCTGTGCTATCAAACCAAAAAATTATGGGTAATTTTGGTTGCCAGGTTACTTTGTAGGTGTGCACGTGATTGGCTGATTGTTTTAACTTTGGGCTACCTGTGCCCTCGCAACTCGAATTGTGTCATTGGATGGGAGTTTTACTACTCTGAGCATGCTCACTACTTTCAAGGAGTTTCTGAAAGGCAGTTSTTCCCCAGTTTCTTGAAGAGCAGTACTTCCCATATGGTTCTCAGTAATCCAAAATATTAGTATATAAATCAAGCCGACTGATGTAGAATTGTACGATGAAGCACTGTATAGTAGGCCCAAAGGATATGACGTTGTAGACTTATAGATGTCATAAATAGCATGTGATGTAATGAATTATTTACGGACTGGTGTAATTATTTCAACTTCCGGTGGCCAAACGCGACATGACACACACATAGACAAAAAGGTAAAACTAAAGTCGGGCCCCCTTTGGGTAGCCCGACTAATTACCTGTCTTAGACTACTATGCTGTGCTAACTGTGGTAATTGCAAAACAGCCCAAACTCTTTGGGAAATTTGACTTAAATAGCCTAAATGTTTCAGCAAGTACTAGACACTACAGATTTAAATGTAGTATCCAAGATTATATGTAGGTTTGTCAATATATATTTTTTACACTCAAAATAAAGTGACAGTCATTCAGAAAGTCTTGTTGTAATGATTCATGTCTATGATCCAGTGGTAGCAAGTTGTAATATTCTAGTTGGCATGATTTATTTAAAATGAAACCCCTGATTTCAGGGTTGACTCGTGCCTTGACAATGAGTTGGCAAGAGTCTTTAAGTGAATAATTGAACTAGTGATGAACAGCAAAAAAAGTAAATGATGTAGTTGCCATGCAACCAATTTCATCTGTGAAGCTGCATACATTTTTAATAAACTTACAACAAGATCAGATGGCTGTAAGACTTGCAACTGATCATGGTTATTTACCAAAACAACACATTCAAGACCTCTCATGGCATTATTGCAGTTAGTTTAGTCATAACTATACCAACATTCTCATTTTCTATTCAACTTGAAATGCTAGATTGCAGCATGATCCTTTGTGTGACTCATTAAATGAAATTCTTCAAGRTGGCCAATATTGATTTCACTAGAATTATCCTCTACACACATTGGGTCTAATAATAGTGATTGGTGTAAATCCTTCATTTGATTCTGTTATATTGAAAGTAACATTCAATGCATCTGCTACTGCATGTTTAATCAGTGCATCAGCTCATATATCTTGAAGAGACATATTGCTAAAATTTTGACCATGAATTTTCAGTGTTACTCTCAATAAACCTCTTTGGATTATGTACAGGGTTTGGCTCAATATCACCTTAAAGCATTATTAGTTGCCTCGTGGATAAACAATATGTTTGAAAGAAGTAAAAACAACAACACAACATTGGTATTTATGTCATTACTCAAGAGCTTGATTTCCACTACTGCATTTAATAAAATAACATTTACTTTCTGTATATGAGAATGACACCTTCATTGATTTGTAATACCTAGTGATATCTTGTAATATTTCGCTTGTTTTGTAATAACTTACTTTGTCGACTGTTCGACCTCCCGGGAGTCATTAGTGTTCTCTTCCTTATCGACTGTTAATCGAACAGGCACTGCTAGCTAGAACAGCCCTCTCACGAACGGAAGAGGTAGCGACCATTTTAAGTCTGATGGTCTCTTCGTTATCGACTGTTAATCGAACAGTTACAGCTGGGATATCAGGACAGTCCCCTCACGAAATTCACGAAATTATGAAGAGGTAGCGACTTTGTTATTAATGGTCTCCTCATCATCAAAATTTGATTTTATCAGTTCAGTTGTAAGGTAAAATACACTCTGTTCGCAGGGTATTAATTACATGACCTTTTAGGTCAAATTTAGAGTTCTATCGTTTTGAAGTCGTTGCAGAGAGCAGTCAAAAAAGAATATCATATCGTGTGAATAAATGGTTTTGAACAGTACATTAATTAAAGTGAAAGTAAYGCATTCTTGCTTTCACTATGTATTAGAAGTAAAAAATATATATTCTACGCCATAATTTACATTCGTAATATAATCATATGATTAGACAGAATATAACATCATAATCTTATCGTGTTTAAAACCTTTCACTCGTTCTCCTATACGCGCATCCATGTAACATCCTGTCTCTAACAATTTTCAAAAATAGCTAGTCCGACTTCACGCTCCAGGAGCGTCTAGTTTCCAGTTACTTCTACCTTATTTCCAGTTACTTCTACCTAGTTTCAAACTACTACAAGCTAGTAATAATCAAAGTATTAGAAATAATTAATTTAATATAGAATTAACTTAGTGAAAAAATGTCTCTTATACACAACTGCCTCACGAAAATGATTCCGAACCATATGCACCGTCTTATACCATTACACCAAGGAGTTTCTGATGTGATTCTTCGGAAGATAACATACTTATAAATCTTATGAATTAGGCATGCCATGAATAGCAGACAAAGACAATTTGAATAGCTTTTGTTTTAGAAAGACATTCGGAAATTGGAGAACAACAAACAGTGCTCCATGTATTCAAAATTATGAAAACTGAAAACCTTGGTTGAGATGAAATAAATCAATATATTTCTGTTATATGGATATCCTTTCCTTTTTTCCCTTCCCGAATAATTAATGCGTATGAGAAGTTGTTCAAAGTCCGACAATGAGGACTGGACGGGATTTGAAGTCCTTGAAATTAGTTCTAGTCAGCTAATGCTTGGGACTGGAACTATAATTAGTTCCGTGGACTTGAAATCCCATCCAGTATTTAAACATGTTAGATAAAAAAAATAAACACTGTAAAAAGTTACTGACATTTTGGACGTTATTCCTTTGTCTGTGTATTAATCCTACTTTTTCACCTACTTTTTATGGTGCTAAAATTTATTATATTGTTTCTTTAGAAATACCAACGCAAGTCATACTAGTTTATGGCTAGTTTCCAATATTGAGAGTTGTCAGTACAAAACATTTTGTGAGAGAAGGTAAGCTTTGGTATCATATTTCTTAAGGCCACATTAGGCGACACAAAATTAGAAAAATTGAGAATGGGGTTAGGGGTCAAAGTTATTGGAAATAGCCGTATACATTAATAATATGTAAATAAATAAATAACAATAATAAATAAATAGAAACAATTTAATACTTGAGGGTTTTGCCATGAAAAAATAATAAAAGAAACATGGAACATCGCTGCAACAATAACAATGTTGTTRAATTTTGTYAAATGTTGTTAATTAATAGTAGTACCAGGTGAAAACCAATGTTACCTTTTAAATCTCGCGGGTAAAATGAACAAATTACTTATGATTTTTGTAATSTATCTAAAATCTTTGCTCATAGCAACCATAATTGTGACACAATTATATTCGCACAATAATATTCGCTTTACTGTTTACAATACAATGCAAGCTTACCCATCCTCCGTTTTCTTCGACCCATTCAGCTAAATTCTGATCCATGTACCTCGATACCCATTCTACAATATCATCGATCAAGTTAAAAAGTTCTTCTCTTCTTGAGCAGTAAACAGCTAACGTAGCTCCAAATGCAAAAAATGCTACAATTCTTCCCCAGTTTTTTCCAGTCTGGAAGATTTCGTCAGCAATTCCTACAAACGTTGGATAGGTTGTAGTTGGAGTTAAATGAAGCTGGTCGCACATGGAATCGAAGAGGTCTCGGTTATCCGCGATAAGTTCATCGGCAACCCTTCTCAGATGTCTTGATGTTTCCGTGCTTAAGTCTTGGTTATATCCTTCAACGAAAATATGATTTTGACGTAGTTTGTAAGCGACATAATCCTTTACTATGTCTTTGTACTGATTCGTGGGAATCGGCATCGCGTCGTGTCACAGTTGTGAGCCGTTCAACCAATTTTCAATGCCGCAAAATAAACAAAATTCTAGGGGTGATTGTTGAGAAAAATTTCACCCAAATTTTCCCAAGGATTAGAACTCTTGACAGGATGCTTTGTCGAAAATATCTTAGAAATTTGGATGTTTAGTAGGATACTTTAGCAAATGTAAACTTGATGCAAAAGATGGCGGACTGTCCAAGTTGTGCGGATGCTTTGGTGAAATGCCCAAATATTCCTGCAAGATGATTTCTGCCTTATCAGAGAAAGTTTTTATCATCAAAACAACGACAAACTGAACACTTTCACTTTCTCAGCGATGCTTGCCTCTAAAGTAATGCGAAAGAGTCTGCGAAAGCCAGTTTGTCGAAGCTCCCTGAAAGTTCTAAATCACGTGTCATGCAATGCACAATGACCCTGACGTCATAATTCCAAGTTAGAACGTGCGTTGAAAGATTCATGAGAAATGTTTGATATGTGGCATATTTTTTTGAAATTCACACAATGAGAAAGCAGAATCAAATTTCGACATGACAAAWAAATTCTGAAGGTTACTTTTTTTAAAAGGGTTTTGTTTTGTTAAATGCGAATGTCTAAACTTTTGATAGCGTGACATAAATASTGTGACACTCAGGAAATAAAGGAATGTGTGACGTCAAGATTTCACAATTTCTTTTCAAGGTCAAAWTTTTTATTCTATTTTATTCCATGTACACTTTTRTTAGAACATCGTCATCATCGAAGCACTTTATGGCAAAATTTTACTTTTTGTTTTGAATCGTACGAACTTCAAGAAAGATTGTGAAATTTCGACTTTTGATTTATAACTATCTTGGGAAAAACATCGGACGCGTTCTCCTCTGGCTGTCACCCAAACTTCGCTGGRAAGAGGCTTTCGTAAATTAGCAATGTTTGYTYAGCTGTATTAGATTTTGACTGTGTTTTTACATTCTTGTCACTCCCCTTTTCTTCTCCTCAGCTCCCTTGAGAAATCGCCTTTTTGTATTTATAAACAAGCCTGGGTTTGGTATAGTTAAAAATGTTGAGTCGGCAAATTTTTTTAAATTGGCTGCTATAATTCGCCCGGCG